AACTCTCCAGGAACGATGGTTAGGAAACTACCCGCCTATATGACTGAAATGCTGTTAGGAAAAGGCGTAAAATGAAACAAATAAATAAACATTAAAGGTACCAATCAATATGCATCTATCAACTATGTTACACCTAAAATATCTATGTCACTTGTCTATTGATCACCGATATACCGACAACACAGGATGCGCTATATGTAGATCAGGACGTTGTACGGTTAATGATATGCTTAGGCTATTTTAGACTACCGATCACCAAGACGTTATACTGTATTTTTAACTCCACGTTAGAATTGCATTTAAATATAAGACACAGTAGATCTAAATATAACTCGATCGCAGACAAATTTGATAGAGCTATGCAATTTTAACTTGTTCGCACTTATTTTCTGTGTGATTCGGTCACGATCTTTTGGTAAATAGGACCGTCCTTTGGAGACGGAATACTACTACAGTAGCCATTCTCTATTGTATAAAACTAATATAAAGACAAAAATCAATCAAAAAAGAAACTAACTTTTGCGTCTTGAAAACGAATTAAAACTGAACATTTTCTTTTATTATTCATTTCTTCCTTCTACTTACTCTTTAAACCGATAAATCAAGTAAAAGTAGAAATCCTATTTATAGAAGCAAACTGGGATTACAAAATAGCTTAGATTTCCGTAAAGTTACTTCGTATGATTCCGCATAATGACGGAATCGCCCAAATTGTCACGGAAATCTAGACTGGTTTCCCGTTCCATCATGCACTAACAAACCACCTGACCGGAACAACTTTTTCCATAACAAATGGCCGCAAGCCAATAACACTATTACAGAAGAAGATGAACAATTTTATTTGAAGAGTTTAATGCGTAATTAATATACAAAACATATATAATGCCAGACTATAATAATAATATGAAAACGTACAATTGCATTTTCCTCGAGAAATTTATAAATGATAAAATCTTACTTGCTATGTCGCCTTCCTATTCCTTAATAATGGTAAGATACAAAAATATTGATTAGATGAACAGGTTTTATATTTAGATCCACCTTTTGCCATAACATGAGCATTTCTCATGTTTGACAATTGGTACACACAAACTTGGACATCTTAAGTCCCAGATACTGATAAGTTCATTAACTGAGTGTTACCTACCGGCTCTTTTGTTTATAGTCGACTGTCCTATAGTTGGCATATTTTCATATATATATTTCAAAAGATTTTAAAATCAAAAGAGCGATATTTTAATGAATATTTCTGTATACAGAATTTTTATAGAGTTCTAAAGTGATTAAGTATTAACATATATATGATGAATAATAATATTTATTGCTCCGGAACACTTTATCTGCTGTAAATGTAAACTTATTTTAATAAAATGCTGAGAAATATCAATGAAATAAAATTCATAATTTCATTTTCCGAATTCCCAATGTGATGAAAAATATTTTTCACTAGTGTCTTGCCGGACTTTCTTCTAAGTTCAGCCAATACACAAAATTAATCATAAGGTTATAGAAGAGTAAAAAAGTATAGAATAAACAGAAAATTCAAGTTTTTCTATGAAAATGGGACTTATTTTGATCTTGTGATATAAGAATAATTATATTTTACGTTAAAAGATTCAAGATAGAAGTATTTATTTCCATCTTACTTAGTATGTACGATTTATGATTATGATTTCCCCCATTTCTACTGCGTTACTAACACTGTAAGGGCAATTTTTGCATATTTTGACCTATTTTCTTGATTTACATTATACATGGGTTGTAAGTGCTGTTTACAATGTGATTTTTCTGCTGTTCATTTCACAATATTTTAGTTTCAAATAAATTTTAAAATTATCATGAAAATAGCATAATTCCGTAGGCGTGTTGCTTTAACGCTCTTCCTCTGGAATATTCTGAGATATGTTATAGAAACATAAATTCTAAATGTACGTGAAAATTCACCAGAAACCTCCAATTTATTTGAAGATTATTTTCGAAGAGATCGACTGGAATTTTTAAATCCCTAGCATTGTTCTTAAGTCTGCAATTTTGTGAAAAATATATCAATACTTATATTTCAAAATCACACAAAAACTGCACCAGAAACCACTTTTAACATGTGAATTTTATTTTTCATTTCTTTTAATCTGTAGGGGACCCCGGGCCTCCTCTAAAAAGGGGGAGTTTGATCGTTCCTACTCCGCAGGTGAAAGGTTCTAGACCCCGGCCCTGATAAAACAAGCATAGAAAGGCTAAGTAAGTATGACTGTCATCTTTATAATATAATGTGAAGAAAGCAAAATCTAAAATAACAATGTAAAAAGTAACAAATCAGAAAAAGGATTTTTTTTACTGGTGCGCAGAGAAATACAGAGCTACGACATTGCTTTCAAAAACTTTAAGCTATCTTTGATTAACTTTTTTTTTTACTTTTAATTAGAATTCTTATATACATGTATATTACATGTTCTTTCAAGCATATGCATGAAACTGTTCGATGAATGTTTCTTAAATTTAAGCATGTTGAGTCTTCTACAGTAATCCTGCTTGATTTTCCTGTTTTGTTAAAATTTCAGGAGATAATGATATTCGTCACCCATGTCATTAGTATTGCAGAGCAAGCACTTTCTGCCGTGTAAATCTATTCGATTTCATCTTCCTGTTTCTATAGGAAAGTAATGGTTACCGGTCATATAATCTAATTTAGGTAATGTATTCTGGTTTATTAAGTTTGAGAAATTGTTTGCCCGGGATTAAATTGCTTTGGAATAGTGAACAATTTCTACCGTTGCTAAAATTGTTAAAGGATGCATGCCAAATCGAGAGGGGAATGATGTTTGTTGTTGTCCGCCCTTCCATCCGTCCGTCAAACTTTCGTTTCCGGGCAAGTTTTCTGCACCTACTGACTGCATGTCAATTTGCATTACTTGTAATGGTGCTGGAATGCAAAATTCAGGTAACGAAAGTGCATTACTATGCATTACTTCACCAAACCTGCTACATCATATATGGTATGGATGATCCAAGGAACACAAGATAAAAATTGTGATGACCTTAATTAGTCAAATGAAATTTTAAATCACGAAAATTCAATGTCCCCTCTCACTTATATGTCTGCACTGATTTAAATTGTAAAAATTTAAACCCTAATTATGCAGTAATCTGAGATAATATGCATAATATATTCAAGTTGTTAACTCTCATTAAACCGGTTTGTTTCGCCACATATAGCTCTCGACGAACATATTTTATTCGTTCCGGTGTAAAGCTATATTCGTGAAGCACGACCGATTGGAGCTCCCAGGAGTTTTACTCAACAACATGCATCGATTTAGAAATGATGGGTCACTTCGGCGAATAAAGCTCCCCGTCATCGTATTGGTTAACCATAAACAGTCTGAATTATATGCAGTTATTTGGCCTTTTTTTCCCTTAGTAATAGGGCGTTGAAGAAAAATAAGCGCTAAAGTTTTAATGAACATATGTACTTGGAAAAAAAATCTATACTTGGGAGTTGGAGCTTTTTGTCTTCAGTCAGATCACGGATTTATAGTACATGTACATATGAATCCGTGATCTGATGGCGGCCATTTTTGTACAAGTTATTTTCTTTCTTTTTCGTCCATCAAGATTCATTTTAAGCCTGATGATAAAATGACCCTTTCTGATTCATATATACTAAGTTTGGTGGTAATATCAACATTTTTGAGTAAGAAATGACAGATTATGAGAATAATATGGAAAAACAAGTTTGAAATGATGTCCATTAGAGGTGTGTTACCTTAAAAATAGGGGAAATCCGAACGTCATCAGATCTAAGTAGTTCTGACCTTTTGTCAGATTGGTCACAGTCAGATCTAAAAGCGGAGCGTTATTTAGAGCTGATTTTAATCAGATTGTATGAAAATGCAGACTCGGTTTGAGGCTGTTGTAAAAATGCAAAATACCCTAACTTGAAAATATTGCAGGCTTAGTTTAAAGCAACACGCCTCCAGATGAGCAAAAATATTTCAAGACAATCAACGTTTAGAAAATTGTTCTAAAATTTTAAGAAAGGTAAAAACATTCAAGATCCAAGTGATATTTTGCATGTTATGTGCGGTTTGAAACTGCTTTTGCAGTATTTTATCTCCATATTTCTACTGCGTTACTAACGTATAGTAAGGGTTGTTTTTGCATATTTTGACCACTTTTGGGTAATTTTCTTGGATTGTAAGTGCCGATTTCAATATGTAAATTGTTTTTTTTTTATCTCTTCATATTTTACTTTTAAATACATTTCCCAAATTTTCATAAAAATAAACCTTAATCTGGAGGCGTGCTGCTTTAATTGTATGTGCTCATGGTACAGGAAAATATAATTTACTGTCCACGCCTTCATCGCTGGTTTAATCCAAACATGAAAATGGTGAAATTTTGAAATTAGAAACATCCGTGTTCATTACAGAACGTTAGTGCCACTCCATGATAAGCGGCGTATGGTCAAACACTAACATGATGGCGTTAATAATCCTGAAGGACCAGAGAAAATTTCACAATACTGAAGTGAAATATGAACATTTACCATGGAAGCCGTTTCATACTAGTTTTAATTTTAGTTCACTCTACACGACAGGAACAAATGTTCATATAGCGATCAAACTTTCTTAAAAACACCTTAATACTTCATCCTTAGTTTGCTACATATTAAGTTTTAACAGAATTTATTTTAGATCTCAACTTCTGTTTTGAAGTAAGCTATAACCACATGGCCATGTCGCCACTTAGTTAATTTGGTCGCAACAAAGGGCGAAGCTTTGTTAGTTTAGCGCGGTGGAAGGTAGTCTAGTACTGGTGTAACTCTCCAGGAACGATGGTTAGGAAATTACCCGCCTATATGACTGAAATACTGTTGGAAAAATGCGTTAAATGAAACAAACAATTAGGGTGTTTGATGATCGAAGTCGATGCCAGAGTAACACTGTCCTTACCAAGGCAAGCAATTAAGGTCCATTTCGTGAATGAGAAGAAACGACTGCTTACTGAAATGTCATTTTTAATATTTCACTGTATAAATAGTTACAAAAGTACAAATAAGTGTAAAAGGTGATAATCAAATGGTTTTTGATAAGTAACTGTGACTTAACCATGCTACACTAAATTGGCAATGAATTTTTCCTATAATTTGGAGCAGTACCTTATTTAGTCCAGGGAAATTCAGTATAAAAAAAACATGTTACCAGTTACCAACAATACAAAGACTGCAAAACTGTTCAGCCTGGCCTGACCCTATACTTGTGACAAAAGACTTTTCAACAGGTTAGCATGTGTTGATATTTTCAATATATCTGATAACACTTAAGTGCATCAGCTTTATATTGTTCTCTATAAATTACATGTAGTTATAACAATGTTCAATACATTATACATCATACCAGATATTACTGACAAATAGTACAAACATACTTTTTTATTGAAAAGATAACATTGCAGTAGATTATCATTATTCCTGTTGTAGTGTTTTCAAAGTAAATAGCAGAAAATGTTTACAGAATTAACTCGTCCTATCAATGTAAAGAATGTTGTTTGTTTTTCAAAAATGTCAGATCATTTTCATAAGCATCAAGATTATTACCAGTAATGGTTTTAAACCATACTGTCACTGTGATGTGAAGCAGCAAATGTTCAGCTGCAACTGTTGGTGGAAAAAACAACAACAAAATGCCTAGTACCCAAACAACAAATCTTACGTCAAAAATAACATTCCTTGATAAGATGGCTGGATAATTTCCTAACATGAAAAAGTCATTAACCTTCTTTTCTTTATAGCCTACAGCAGTAAACACCAAGTAATTTTAATTTAGAAGCTAATTGGACAGCTCACAGATGCCTTTTTTCAAATGTTTTTCAAAGAACTTATTGTATAAGTGGATATTTACATGTGTTGAAAAGTTAGGAAATTAATATTTTAGACAATTGCGAGTGGAAATAGTGAATCTCTGATCTCAGAGTGGCCTGAAAACTGAAAACAACTTTGGTTACACTTGCCTGAGGAAATTTTAGCGATTTTTGTGACTTCATGAAATTCGCCAACTTTTCTGCATTGCTAACTTAACCACTTATACAGTAAATAAGACATACCAAAGAACTATAATGGAAAAAAAATAATCCAAAGCATAATATCTTTTTATCAAATTCTATATGAAAACATCAAATATGGCCAAATATACAAATGTAGTGTTATTCTATTTACAAGTGGACAAACAAATAAACTCAGTGACTGAGAAAAAAAAGATTCTGTACATGATGACTAGAGAAACAACAAACACAAAATTTATAAACAGATAAACAATATCAATCATTCTCATATTTAAAGCTGCATGCCTCCAGACGAACAAAAATATTTTAATAAGATCAAACTTGTGAGAAAAGTGAAACGATTCAAGATATAAGTAATAATTTACATATTTTGTGGGATTAATGCAGTACTTGTCACCATATTTCTCCCGCATTCTACTGCGTGACTAACATGTGGTTATTTATTCATAGTTTGACCTCTTTGGTAATTTACATGGATTGTGAATGATGTTTGCAATGTGTAAAACACTTTTTTTGTTTCCATCAAAATATTTTACTGTGTTAAAATTTTTTTTTTTCCAAATATTCACAAAAAAAGAATACTTCTTTAAAAAAACATTTTTCTGGTATTTCATTACAATAATTTAGCACTGAACATCTTTTAAATATTCCATATTATGTTTCTGTTTTCCTTCATAATTCAAGGCATGTAATGTTAAAATACAAACAACATGAGCATGACAAAGAAGGAAAATATACCTGAATCAATATATGAGCTGCGTCACAACAAAACCAACACTATGCCTTTGTGACCAGCATGGATCAAGACCAGCTTGCGCATCCGAGCAGTCTGATCAGAATCCATGCTGTTTGCTTACAAACCCTATAACAATTAGAGAAACTGATAGTTAACAGCATGGATCCTGATCAGACTGCGCGGCACAGGTTGGTCTGGATCCATGCTGGTCGCAAACACATAATGTTGAATTTGTCGTGACGCGGCTCATTTGTTAAAAGAATCAAATATAATTTTTCAATCAAAATAGAGACTCATTCATGAAATTTTTCTAAAGTCCATCCCTTACACTGTTTAAATCCATTACATTTTTTAGGACTGTTTAACATTTTATCAAAGAACAAAGAAACATTTAGCATTTTCCATTACATGTTTCCACTTCTTTTCAATCATAATAACTTTTTCATATAATTCCAAACACAAAATCTTCTTTCTCTCTCAAACACTAATAATTAATACTATCTTTCCCTCACATCCTGACTAACACAATAACATCTTTGTCTCTCCAGTACTAACATAATAACATTTTCAACTTCAACTTGACTAACATAATAAGTATAATACTGTTTTAATTGCACCATATTGTATTTGCACATCCAGAGATCAAACTGTATTATCTCCCTTTCCAATCATAGCTATCTGTCTTTAAGTGTATGTATTTCTTTTATAGCTTCGTTTAACAATTCCATAACTCTCTTGAGAAATAAACTGACTGTGTCTCTATTATTTGTCAGTAGGAACATGTTTTCCACATCTGTAAATGCTGATAATGAACCAGACTGTCTGGAAACTGATAATAATGAATCACCAAAACTGAAATACAAAGCAGAATAGCATTTAAGAAAGTAATTAAATGCAACATAAATTTTGTTTTTCATTGCATCTCCCCTTTTTAAGATTTATTTGACAAAAGGATTCATTGAATATATACTTTTTCATGTAACAATTATGATTCTTTTTTTCTTTCTTGCGGAGAACTGATGTTATATTGACACAGAAATTATTACATGTATATTCAAGCTGTACCACTCATCTCATCTGATAAGAAAAATATATCCATCAATAAAAGTAATTATTCATAAATTCATAACAGGTGTTTGTTAAATTGACATAAAAAAATGTCCCCCCCCCCACACACAAAAGGTCAAAAGGTGTGGACCAACAGCTGTAAATAAATCAGGTGAGCTAGAACTAAAAGAAAAGAAATACCTGTCATCCATGAATACACTTTCAAATCTCATCAGGAAATCATTTTTCTGCCTTGTACTAGAACAATCCTCAACATTATGTGTTATGTTATCTCCCAGCAGGACTAACTGATTCAACACTGTTAATAATTTCTCTGAAATATAATAAAAAACAAAAAGAAATTACACAATGATATCTTATTCTACAAAAAATAACTACTTCTTGTAACTAGAGACAGCTAGACATAAAGGATTGTCCTTAATGACTTGAAGGTGTGGCCGAGTGGTTAATGCTTCAGACTAGAAATCTAAAGACTGCTGATCGCGTGAGTTCAAACCCTGTCAGGGGCAAGCATTTGATTCCTTGAGCAAGAAACTTTACATTCATTGCTTAATACTGTTTGGTTCCAGGAAAGAGTTCTAGAGTGTTTCAATAAGTTTATAGCTTCCAACACTAACTATCAAACTTAAATAAATTTGTATAAACTAAAGCCCCAGTCACATAAGAGCTTACGACCAGTGAAGACCAGTTCATGATCACCAGTGACCTCTGGTCACAGACAATCTTTTAAACATCTTATGATGGTCATCGGTGATCTTTGATAGTCGCAGGTTATCTTATTTAGGTCCCACAACCAATTTCAGTCGTAAAGAGGTTTTGAGCTTGCACAACAACCTCCTTGCGATCAAACAGGTTGCTAGTGATCTTATAAGGTCTTAGGCTGTTGTACGATGGTCGTTCAGAAGTGAGACAATCTGACGACAGTCTATACAAATTGCCACTAGTCACCGATAATCTTGAGTAACCTGGAGTTATCGTGCGATGGTCGTAGGACAAGTTGTAGGTGATCGCATGACAGTTCCAAGTAGTCGTAAGTAATCCCACACAATCTTGAGACCATGGTATGTTTGCTTATGACCTGTTGTGCGATTGTCAATGATGACTTGTCTTACGATAGTCGCAGAAGTAAATTTATCTATGCAAAAATGGTTTTGGTCAAAGACAATCGCTGATGATCATCAGTTTTACAAGTTGCCAGTGGTCACAAGTAATTGTAAGCTCTAGTGTGACTGGCGTTTAAGTCAGAAAGGAATTCATATCATCATCAAGTCATTATTTTAGACTTTACTACCTAAAACACATTAAATCAACTGACCACAAGACTCAAGAATGGAAAGACCATAAGGAATTCAGTGATGAAAGGCTGACAAAGGTAATTTGCTTAAATTTTTGCTTTCCACACATGAATAAAATGTGAAATATTCTAAAAATATAGAAAAAATTCAGAATTAAAATGATAAATCATGGAGTATTTACCTGTGTTTAAATTATAACCCAAAATATGTTGTTGTAATACATCAACTGAATGGTTTATAGAGCTATTAATAAACTGTAATATGAAACTTGTGTTGATTGGAATAATCAAATCATCCAACAGTTTTACTGTGGTTAAGGAAACAACTCTTGCTGATGCTAGTTGATAGCTGTTATACATGGTATTTTCCCTTTGCAACTGAAAAAGAGAAATATAACATTGTGTATTACACAGAGAAATAAGCTTACAACATATTCATTTTTGTCTTGAAACTAAGGTTGTTTCATTACAACACATTAAAGTTAATAAACATTTAATTACAACACATTAAAGTTAATATTTAACAGAAAAAAACCCCAAAAACATTGAAATATTGAAAGAAAGAACATACCCATTTACTCAATAATATTACTGTAATACATGGCTTAAAAAAGTATAGCTTGAAGATTTTATTACTGTATTCCTAGAAATGTTCGCGGATACAATATTTCGCGTTTTTCACAACGTCGGCATTTTCGCGGAGACAAACTTTCGCGGATATGTAGTAACCGCGAATTCCGCGAATGTTAAGTCGCTACGGCCTAAATTACAGTTTTTGGAGGCTACGTTTTTGATGCATGACCTTGCCTGTTGGGTGCTTTTAATTATTTTATTTTTTTGACAAGTCGCGCCTAAAGCGCAACGTTACTCGATACATTTTCATCTATTGACTACTTTCATGTTTCCTTACCTTTTTCATTATGTGATTAAGTAAGATTTAGTCAGACCCGTTAGCTTTTATTCTCATTTGAATCATAGCTGACTTTTTCTTCAAAATGTCGATACGTAATTTTTACACATTATCGGGCTGTGCATCGCTTTCATTATAACAACATAACAGTTGTTTATCAATGTAGCACTTGATCGCTATTGTACTTTTAACAAAGGATTACACCTACTCCAAGCAAATAAAATCCAAGTCATTCAATGTTCACAAACTGTAAATGCGTTTGTCAACGCCGTGACTAACCGTCAATAAGCATGATAATTACTAATAATTGATATTTTCTTTTTCAGCGTGCAAACTAGTATCAATAACATACATAAATAATTCTTTACACATTTCTATAGCCCCTGTGTTTTTATGTTTGTTTTTTTTTGTATCAGTAGATTATAATAAATATTCTGCACTTTTTATGTTATATTTAGTTGAAGCTAGAAATGTTCGCGGATTTGTTATAAGTGACATATTCGCGGCTATAAAGATTCGCGGAATCATGCCTACCGCGAAAAGCGCTAACATAAAATGCGCGAAATCTTTTCTAGGAATACAGTATGGAAAACTGACCTCTGCATCCATGGATTGCAATACATGTGAAGAGACTGATGGAATTCCAAGTTGGTGGAATAATGGAAACTCTCCCGAACTGTACATATTTATTGCACTTTCATTAGATAAATACCAGTCATGTGACAGTTTGGGCCATCTTTCGACCAATGAAAATTCAGGATTCAAAGGATCTGGAATCTAAAAATAAAATACATATATTTAGTACCATGAAAAGATAAATGGAGAGTGAATTTCATACATCAGCTCAGCAGTGACAAGTAAACTGACCTCAGATTTGTCAGGTTTGATTATTGGACATGAAAAACATCCTCCATGTCTATGTCATAAAAAAGTAAGGCTGTGACTAAACAAGAGCTGTCCGTAAGACAGCGCGCTCGACTTTTTTATTGCTTGCCAATAAAAAAAGTTTTTGCAGTAAAAGGCAATACAAGAATCTCTGTATTTTTAAAGTGAACAATGGCCATGAGCATTAAGATATTTAGTGAAGAATTATTTTATTATGACATAATTTATGGTAAAGTGAACAAGTGGATAGGAATGAATTTTTTTAGTTTTTTTAAGTTTTTTAGTGCTTGCCTATAATACAAAACATTGACAGTTAAGGGCCATAATTCAAATAAAATCTTTGACAGAATTACCTTCTCCTGGACATGTTTGGGAATCATGATTGTAAACAAGTATTCCAACTTTCAAATTAATATCTCAAACAGTTCAGTCAAAAAGTGGACTGGTACTAAAAACTTAACCAAGATTCTAAGTCGATAAAAGGCCTTAATTTTTAAAACAAATCCTTGACAGAGTTACCTTCTCTTGCGTACAGATGGGGGTAATGATGTGAAATAGCATTAAAAGTTTCAAAGCAATATCTCAAAGGGTTAAGGCAATAAGTGGATTTTACCCATATTCAATGTATTTTCTAAGTCAAAAAGGGGCATAATTCTGTCAAAAACCTTGACAGAGTTATGTCCTCTTGTCTGTTGATGAAGGTCGTGATGGTAAACAAGTATGGTCAGTTTCAAAGCAATACCTCCAATGGTTTTGAAATAAAGTGAGGTGGTACAAAAAACTTAACCAAGCTCAATACACTTTCTAAGTCAAAAAAGGGCCATAATTCTGTCAAAAACCTTGACAGAGTTATGTACTCTTGTCTGTAGATGGAGGTTATGATGGTGAACAAGTATGGTAAGTTTCAAAGCCATACTTGTAATACTTCTGAAATAAAGTGGGGTGATACGAAAAACTTAACCAAGGTGTAACGCCGACGCCGGGGCGAGTAGGATAGCTCCCCTTTTCATAGAAAAGTCGAGCTAAAAAAGGATTGGAGCACCACACTAAATACCGTATTCCGGTATATACTGGACAAGGGGCTTGAATGATAAAATGCTAAAATCTCGCCTTTTTACCCAACGGAATGAACTTAAACAGGTCTAATTCATCTTTTCACACCGAATTAAGTACGATAATGAAGGAAAAATATAAAAATCGGCGAAAAAAACGATATTTGTCTATTTTGTGATCATGATTTCTGCAAGCGTCCAGAGGTACTGCTCCAATCCTGTATTGAGCTAAATCCAAAAAGTAATCTGTCTCATGTATGTAAGTTTTGCATGTGTACATCAGGTTTGAAAAAATACCCTGCATATGATGAATTGTTAAAATATAATTTTTCAAATTCAAAAAAAAAAAAAGAATTCCGATACAAAGTTCCTTTTTAACATGAATATTTCAATACAACTTTCATATTCCAATATTTTTGTTCTATTTTCCCATCCTTAATTAATACGTATACATCTACATGAAATTATAATCAAAATTCTGGAAAGGAATAATATCTTGAGAGCAATGGACAGATTATCTCCTAAACTTCAGCAATTATCTCCTAAAACTTCTGCAATTGTGTACATTCTTTTTGGACAAAACATGAACAAGTTTATAGCCTAAACATATTTACTGTAAAACTGATTCTGATAAGTCATAAATACCATATCTGAGGTCCTCAATAAAAGATTCGCTACAGAAGGACTTGACCTAAACTCCATGACCTTTGACCCTTTAGATACTGCATCAAGGTCAATGTAGGTCACAGCTTCTTGAGTAAGGATATGTCTGTTGTGCTGAAAATACAAATTGTTGAAAATTAATATTTACATTTGTATGTATAGCATTTATGTTGTTTTCAAACAATTTTTTGTTGAAAACATAGTTGAAAAATACATTATAGAGCAGTGTAATAGTTACTTTGCTGAAATTGTTAGTTAAGACTTTGTGTCTAGATCCAGAAGGCTAACCATCAAATTTTGTTTGGTTTTAATTTACCCCAGTACTGACTGTGGTATATTTTCATGCATGGGAAATCTCAAATGTACATAAGCTAGCTAGCCTAGTTTTTGGTGACTCATTTTTATCAGTTGTTTTCATCCCTACAGAGATTCAAACCTGCAGCAGTAGGGGGCAGTTGATTCGAGGTCTACAACCTTGACTACTTAACAACAGAAGCCATCAATATTTAGTGCTACGAAAGTTCAGGAAAATAAATATTTTTCACTTGAAACAACGAACATTAATTGAAAGTTATCTAAGAGTAATGTATAAATAATAGGAGAGGGACATTGTAACAAATGGGCCATTGTTACAAAGTAGGTTTTACCTATTTCAAATATTGCTATACTAAATCAGTCTAAAGACAAAGAGCAAGTAGTAAGCACAGTCAAAACTGTAGGTCAAACCATTCTCAATCTTAATTCTCAGACAAGCTTTGAATGGTCAAGGACAAGGAAACCTTGACTTTTGAGCCAACCCATCTTCATGATGGACCAACCTCTGCACCCAAATCTGCAGGCCAAAGCCTTCCCTAGTTATAGGTCAAACAATAAAGTCACCTTAACCTTTGACCTTCTGACATAAAATTCAATAGTGGTTCTTCACCGGCTATTGGTAATGTCCCTACCAAGTAACATAAACCTCAACTTATTCATCCTCAAGTTATTTTTTAATCAAAACAGGGAAAAGTGACATACATATATGCATATAAAACATCATCACAGTACACTCCCACATTTTTAGGGGGAGCATAATGAACTTTTCATCTTAGTTCAGTTTAATTAAACATGTTTAGATATAGTAAGTTTTGTAACTATAAACAGTACCTTAATATAGTTATACATTCCCACATCTCTGGAATGACCTCCAAATGACACAAACTTAAGTGTTCTTCTTGGTTTCCATAGTTCCCACTGTCTGATATATGCCATACTTCTAGCTAGCTCAAGCAAGGAACCAGTACTGCTTGCAGGGTCAAGGTCACTTTCAGCAGATTGTTCTGTATGTCGTCTGCTACCAAGTAATATCTGACGATCTGGTGTTAAAAGAAAACAACATTGTAAGTTGTCACAAATTTACAAATCAGAGCAAATGCACTTGAAAATAAACAAATAAACTGGATAGTGATACACAAGAGTGTACACATCAATTACCGGGTCAGTATAACTTATATTATGTGTGACAATAAATTGGTGTATTTAGATCCCGACACTTGTTATTTGTATTGCATTATTTATTTTCTCTATAAAGTCATTTGTTATTTTCATTTCATATTTTCTGTACATGTATATAAATAAACTATAAAGGCACCTGCTATTGGCATTATATATTTTCTGTACATAAATAAAGACACTTGCTATTGGTATTTTTTATTCCTGTTCAATGATCCAGACATCTGACATTTTAAATTTCTAGAAAAAAAGACACCTGCTATTGGCAGGTGAATATAGACTTTTTTTGGCTTTATGTATGTGAATATAGACTTCTTTTTGGCTTTATGTATTTATATGTACATGTAATTTGCTATTGGCATAATATACATGTATTTTTACATTTTCTTGTTTTACCTCAATCTAACAGCTAGTTCAGTTTATTGATGATGCCTTTCAATACAAAGCAGTATGAACAAGAATATGACTACACAATGAGATATGGTAAAATGGATTCTTAATTGTAGCACGTTTTATACATACAGGATTTGTAGGAATAAGAAATGTTTAATGTCATTTTTCCTCAAAAGTTTGGATTCCTGAGATTAATTAAAGTGCAAGAAAGTTTGTACAGTGTAAGTACAAAATCTTTGAAGCATTGTTTTTTTTTTAATTCCCATGCAAACACAACTGGAATACTACATGCACAAATAGTTTCTTATTTTTACAATGTTTACCTCCCTTGCCAAAAGTGGCAGTCATTTTGGGTAATATAATTGACAAAATATGAAAAAATCAAAATAAATTGCTGATTGAGGTAAATTTTCAAATTATTTGTTATATATGAGGGTATATATTATCATAGCACCAATATGTTTAAAATTTGTCTCAGTTTTCATGAAGATGATAGAATTAGGAGAGATTTTATTTTAAAGTGACATCATGCTCATTTTGTTTCTGTCAAGTTGCGCTGAATTAGTAATATATTTCAAAAGACTTTTAAAATGGTGATTGACAAGTTATTAGTAATGAAAATTGTTTCGGATAAAATATAAAAACTACCTAAATTTCAAAAAGACTGCCCCACTCTTTTTAAAAATTGAACATTACCGATACATTCCGAACAATATTTTTTGAAATTTCAGTGAGTCTTGTGTATTATTGATTAACTTAACATGGTAAGATTTAAAATTTAACACAATAATGGCAAAATTTAATGTTAATTTGACTTTCCCCTCTGCAAAAACCATTTACACTTGGATGGGCATAATGTCACTTTAAGCATATGATATATTGGAAATGACTCTCAAAATGGCAGCCAGGGGAGGTAATGATTACCATGTGAAAAGCTCCTATTGTCTCACAAATTGTACTTAACCTTACATGACTCAAATAAGTTGGTCAGGTTGTTGGAAAAGGCAGAAAACTGCTGTCTGTTGAAGAATAGGGACAAAATAAAATTGTTGTGTTATAGAAACGTTACCTGGCTCGTTGCTTCCATATATTGTAGCAATCACATTATTGATTGTCCTTGTACTTTTCTTGTTGTTTACTTGCAGGTATACACTAACTGAATCTACAAAATTAATGTAGAAATAGAATGATTGAACAGTTTATTCATTTTTATACTGACATGAAAAATAATTATATGAATATTTTATATCTTAAATGGAAAACAATTTTCCTTCTTTTAACGTTAGGCTTATTTTTGTATTTGCTGTTGATTATTTAAATATTATCAGTAGAAAGGCTTACATCACAAAACTTTAAAAAAAATTCACAGAACAATATTTGCTGACTTTCAATTTGGACTGTCTACTTGGAGCACCAAGTACATGTATTACAAATTCTAGAAAATTAACTCTGCCATATTTTCATATCTTGAAAAAAAAAATGTATTATGTTACATATCCAATGGGAGGAAGTATAAAGTAATATAAATCAAGTCTAAATACAGGTAAAGAACTGAGAATTTTCCTTATGTAAAACATAATTTTAAAATATGCTTTGAAATAACATAATTGCTAAAATATTTAACCATAAACTTTGCTATTATTTTGTTCTTTATGCTGTTGCCAAGGTGATGGCAGACTGAAATCAGGAATACTTTCGATAAGATTCATAGCTATATTGTTGGACACAGTCTGTACTGGAATTGTGGGTAAACCATCATTGTTCAAATCTGAAAGAGAAAGAATATTTGATAATTATGATTAGTACAAAATGGAACTTTAATTAAACACGTTCAAAGAGATCACTTACCCACAATAGAAATAAACTTCTTTTAGGAACAGGTTCAATTCTGTCAAATTTGAAAATCAGTAGACTGGTCATAAAATAAGGACTCAGAGGGAATAAATTTTTCGAATGTTTCAGTCATCCTGTGTCAGACTTAATTGTTGCTCATTATGCCTCAAAAATGCTCTTACTTTAATTTATAAAAAGTTTTTATTCTTATTTTGGTGTAATTAATAGTATCCAAAAAAACTCAGAGGCCAATTACCTGAACCATCCTTTTTCATTTGTTGCATTTTGGCAATAACTAAGTACAGTTATAGTGAATACAAGTTAAACATTCTCTAAAACCATTATTTAAACATTTTAAGATTCATGTTTGCCCTTTCTACAGAAGGTAAAATTTATTTGTTTTTGAGGCATAATAATTATGCTCTTAAAGATCACCTAGTAATAATAGTAATAAGACAAAACATTTGATACTTCCTTGACATGGAATTCAAAATTCAACTGGTCAAGTGTTAAATAAGGCAGGGGGATTACTTGTTATCTTTTATCAAAACCATCAAACAGATGTCACTGCAACATGTCTTTATGACACAAAGAAAGGCTTACAATTATAATGTTTCTATTATACAACTTTAAAACCATGGTAACTTTTACAAAATAAAAATCAAATGTTAGTGAGGATTAAAGTTTCTGATATCATTATAAACAGCATAATAAAACACTAACAACAATGTTTGGTCAGGATCAAATGACTAGACTTTACAAAGGCTACAATGTAATATTACCAGGTTACTATAGTAATGTTATCTCTATTAATGCTGGACACAGACTGCCAGACAGTTAAAGTAACTATCCATTTAATTCATAACTAAATTCACTTCATCTTTCTCCCCTAAGTTTATGTAACTAACCTGGCCTGATTACATGTTAGAACACCTATGATAGGCAGACAATTTGTTTTCAGATCAGCCAAACTTTTTCAAGAAAATTAAACTTGAGAAAATAGTACTAAGATTTTAAGAAAAGTAAAGAGCAAGTGGGTGGGGTATAATATCAATTTCTGTACTGAGCAGGATTTTTCATTGTAGCACCACAGGTAAACTTAGGATATTGAAAACTTTTAGGTAATGACATAGTTAAAGCTATATAAAATGAATGTTTTCCACCATTTTATTCTGTCAATATCTATGATAAATCATCTACATTAGTACTGTTGTATTGACACAGAATAATCCTGATCTTTTTCATTGTGATTTAAAAGAGACCACAATTATTTTGGAATGAACGAAAAGGGAGCTCTACTACTAGCTAAAATACTTCAAATTATTAACTTTAGCTTGCTGGCGGTAAGGGAACCATCCGATGTGACATCTGTGCCTCCTGATCAGGAGCTTCCTTTGGCATCAGCTGATAGAGGATCAAACTATAGCAACCTTATACATTATGCTGCACTCCCTGACCTCTCTACCACTAGTCAAGAATGCTTCAGTTTAAATAAATGAGCGTGTCATGACAAAACCAACATAGTGCGATTGCGACAAGCTGGATCCAGACCAGCATGTGCATCTGCGCAGTCTGATCAGGATCCATGCTGTTCGCTTACCAACCCTTTTACAAGGTGAGAAACTGACAGCGAATAGCATGGATCCTGATCAGACTGCCCGGATGCGCAGGCTTGTCAGGATCCATGCTGGTCGCAAACGCACTATGTTGGTTTTGTCGTAACGCGGCTCAAATATATAAACAGAGTGTAGAAGAGAGCAAAACATCTCTCAACAAGAGCTGTCGGTAGGACAGCAACGCTCGACTATTCTTAGTGCTTGATAGTAAAAAAAATGCTTGATACAGTTACCTCCTCCTGTTTACAGGTTGGGGTCATGATGGTGAACAAGTGTGCAAAGTTTCAAAGCCATATGTCAATGGACTTTGAAAATATTTGAACTATTACAAAAACTTTAACGTAAATTCTAAGTCGAAAAAGGGGCTTAATTCTGTCAAAATGCTTGATAGAGTTACCTCCTACTGTTTACAGATTGGGGTCATGATGGTGAACAAGTGTGCAAAGTTTCAAAGCCATATGTCAATGGACTTTGAAAATATTTGAACTATTACAAAAACTTTAACGTAAATTCTAAGTCGAATAAGGGGCATAATTCTGTCAAAATGCTTGATAGAGTTACCTCCTCCTGTCTACAGGTTGGGGTCATGATGGTGAACAAGTGTGCAAATTTCAAAGCCATATGTCAATGGACTTTGAAAATATTTGAACTATTACAAAAACTTTAACGTAAATTCTAAGTCGAAAAAGGGGCATAATTCTGTCAAAATGCTTGATAGAGTTACCTCCTCCTGTCTACAGGTTGGGGTCATGATGGTGAACAAGTGTGCAAAGTTTCAAAGCCATATGTCTATGGACTTTGAAAATATTTGAACTATTACAAAAACTTTAACGTAAATTCTAAGTCGAAAAAGGGGCATAATTCTGTCAAAATGCTTGATAGAGTTACCTCCTCCTGTCTACAGGTTTGGGTCATGATGGTGAACAAGTGTGCAAAGTTTCAAAGCCATATGTCAATGGACTTTGAAAATATTTGAACTATTACAAAAACTTTAACATAAGTGGTTACGCGGACGCCGACGCGGACGCCGACGCTCGGGTGACTGCAATAGCTCTACTTATTGTTATCGAATAGTCGAGCTAAAAATGATCAACTTTGACAGTACCTTTAAGGAAAACAAACACTTAAAATAGAGATATTTTCAGGTATTAGGCTTAAAGAGTCATGCCCTTAATTTATCAACAATTGTTTAAATTTCTGATACTTTGTGTAATATAATTGCCTGCGATTTGTTCTACTATTCCCTTGATCTTAAAGTATTATCTGTGATTTAATGGCAGTGGATTACTCAATTAAGATTACAGCTCCTGATAACATTTTTGAGTTGTCAGGTCATGAGGTCAAACAGGCTTATGTTAAGCAAAATATGATTAAATGTCACTTTATAATACCAAGATTTATATTTAGGAGTAGGAAAAAAAATACTTCAAAGGACCGTTGCAATTTTGACGGGGTTTCTTATTTCTCTAGACAACCATTACAATGCATTTTTGCGTATGTTTACTTTAACAAAGATAACAATAGAAGATAGAAATCAGAGATTTTCTTACATTTTTGAACACAGCTTGTTTTCTTTATTTCTATTGTACCAGACTCTATGTAGTACTTGAATTACAGAATATAATAGTTCTACTAAAATGGAAGAAAAAAAATCAACTATTGTACTTTTTTTACAATCCTATTTTTTACTGTATCAGAATACATTAAAATCCTTATAATTTTATTTCTTACATAAGAAAAGAGTTTAATGGAATGTTTATCCCATCAAGGTACATTTAATATAAAACAAAGTTTTTGTATTATAAATTGAGGGTATTTTAGCCACATATTTTAGCTGAATGATAAAACCATTGTGTCTATCTTTTTTCATTTCATTACACTGGTGCTGAGGATATTTCCAAGGTTTTTCAAAGTATTTTCACCCTTACAACATTCTTTTACATCAAATGTAACAATTTATCTGAAAATCCAAACCCTTTAAATATCAATAATTTTGAGACGGTCCCCCAAAATGAAAATTCATTTGATCCTCTTTAATAGTTATAACCCAAGGCAGAGTGATAAAAACCTATAACCGAGTCAACAAGCCATAAAACCATTGAACAAACAGAATAATGCATTTGCTAATCTCCAAACATGCATGCATGAATATATTTTATATAAAAGCTTCCCCCTAAATCATTTTCGTTCTCTAAAGTGTATGCACCACTTACACAATGGAAAGTATTTTCTGCATGTGATCTGCTGTATTATGTTTTATCTGATATAAAAAATGTCTTTTCAGGACAACAAGCAAATATCATTTTACATATCAAAGCTCATTTCACACATTTTATATTTCTCTATAATGGCCAATTAAGATTTTAACAGGATATATTTTAAAAACATAATAATAAATTATAGAATTATAATGTCTTCATTGTGAAAGAATTTAGTCAAAAATTGATTTTTATGTGAAAGTTTAGGACAATTTAAGCACAGCTAAACTGTATAAATATATTTAAAGATCTTAACACTTACTTTGTAACATACATGTATTTAAGAGGTGCCAGGGTGCCATCAAAATAGAACCACTGGGCCTGCCAGCACAATACTTGCCCTACTATACTTTTGGGAGTTAAATTTTCGCATTTTTAACATTCAAAACACTTTAAACTACTACTGAAATGTTCAAAATTCAAAGCAAATCAAAATCTGATTATAAAAGGTATCTGGGAAGTAGAGCTGTCTGTAATACAGTCACAAAGTTTAGAAAGAACTTTGTTTTGCAACAGATTCTCATTAATACAATTAAAGTTAACATATTGTGCAATGTTGAAATCAAAATGCTTGAGAAGTTTTTGAGAGATAAAATTTAATATCCAAACATCTTGGCTGCACGGCCAAGTGGTTTACATGTCATACTAGTAATATTCTATGATTGCTGGCTGCATTGGTTCAAACCCTGTCAGGGGAAAGCTGTTGTTTCCCTGATCAGGAAAATTTTACACTCATTGCCTAGTACTGACAGGTTCCAGTAACAGATCTGAGAGTGTGTATTTAAGTTTATAGCTTCCTACATTTTCATACTTAAATTAAATTCCATGTAAACTATAAATACTTTCACAAGAGTAGGACAATGAGTGTAAGAGGGCAGAAATAAATTTGCAAATAAAAAAAGATTTTTGAAAACGCTGATGCCACTAAGGAATTTAATATGACAAAACCAACGTAATGCGTTTGCGACCAGCATGGATCCAGACCAGCCTGCGCATCCGCACAGTCTGATCAGGATACATGCTGTTTGTTTACAAACCCTATAACAAGTAGAGTAACTGATAGCGAACAGCATGGATCCTGATCAGACTGCGCGGATGCGCAGGCTGGTCTGGATCCATGCTGGTTGCAAACCCATTATGTTGGTTTTGTCATGACACGGCTCAATTATGTACATAGGTCCACATTATTTTCTTACTTAAGTTGAGAAAGCTATAAATAGTTTAAAATTTGTATTAATTTGAACGTTGGGAAAATTTCAAGTGAGTGACATTATGTCTATTTTCTGACAGTCAATTTTCTCAAGCTTGAAAATATCACCTCATAAATTAATCATTTCCATTTTATATAGTTAATAAAAGTTTTTATTACAATTTTATGCAAACAAGACACAATAAAAGAAGTGTACATAGCTTGTCTTAATGTGTCCTGGTTAACCCACTTGTATAGAAGTGTTAATTCCATAAACATGCTATATCACAGATAGCCAGTGCTATTAAAAAATGTTCAACTCAAATAAATAGATGTGTTGTTGTGGTTTAAAGGTTAACTGAAACTATAAACAAGTCCTGTCCTATGACAGCATGCTAGATTATTTTAAACCCCATGAATGCATTTTTCTTTTTAAGCAAAGGGGAACAATTCAATGAAAAATGCATGCCAGAGTTGTGGGTCATGACCAGTGACCTACAATACATGTTAGTGGATGCAACACTGAACAGAATACAAAACTTGCAAATCTTTAACCAGCCTTTAAATGTTCACTCTTATTTCAAAGGGCCTTAATTCTAATAATATACAGGCTAGACATATTGAAGTTAAATAAATTAATAATATTGCTAGGTCTTATCATTGTAACACCATTTTTGAATACTTGCACCCACATATTAATACTTCAGCTGACACTAAGGCAAGTAGAACATAGTTGAGCCTAAAACAATTACATGTGTAACTCAAATATTTTAATAAATTTTTTAAGATAGAAGAATCATATTTTTTGGGGGGTTGGTTTTTTTTTATGTCGCATCAACACAGTATAGGTCCTATGTCAATTTTCCAGCTTTACTGGTGGAGATTAACAATAGACGTTCCATAAGCTGGCTGGATAGCTTTCTCACATGAAAGAGTCTGAATATGGTGAGAAGCAAGTGGTTTGAAGTCAACGGCCTTAACCACTCGGCCATGGACGTCCCTTTTTATTCATGAAATTAATACACTGTATTGTAAATAAAGACCAACTAGGAAATGAATTTAATATGAAAAGATTAGAAGTTGAAAATAAAAAATTAAGTTAATTTATGCATGTTTTCTTCTTCCCAGCTCGAGTTCACAAGCATATTTACAATAAATTACATAAAATACTTTCTAAAATTTCTCTTTTCAATTATGTGACACACTAAATCATTTCACAACTGCATTTATTCATCAGCTTTTGAGTACATCTAATTTCATTTATTAATGTATAGAGCTGAAATTACACTCTCTATGTCCTATCTTTAGTTTATCATATTTCTCTTTTCAAACATCCACGATCTGTATAATCAGAGACAATTTTATTGCGATGTAATTATACTTTTTTCATTGCAGTTCACAAAATTTATTATCCCTACTAAAGTAATTTATAATGGTCATAAAATCTTTGTACGTCAGGTGGCAGGTAACAAAAAAAGGTTAGATACAAAGGGTTCAAATCCTTTTTCAAAAAAAGGGGGTGACTACCAAATTTAACCATGTTACTAATTACCACATTAAAAAAGGGGAAAATTTTTTTGGGGTTTTTTTTTTAACAAGCCTTAAAATTAAAAAAGAAAAGGGGGTCTTTTTGGGAGATGGTCTAGTAAGTTTTATAAATTTATAAAAATTAATGAAAATTATGGTCAAAGGGGAATAGAAAATCGGAGGACAGGGTTTCTACTAATATCAAATTGGGCATTATTTTTAAATTGGGTTTCCATAAGGTTTTCTTGTGGTTTACTATTTTTAAAAGGAGAAAAACTCTTAAAAACCTTCGTAAAAACAACATATGCCCTTTTTAAGCCCGAAAATTCAAACTTCCCCAAAACATGACCTTTATCCTATAAATGCTAACAAATTTACCTGTAAAATCTCTAACATTTGTCACAAAATGTCTGCCACTGTTGCTATAGTTACATGCATCTGCATGGTAACAGAACAGTAACACCCCAGCACAGCCATGCCTCTCTGCCAACTTCACCTGAAACAGAAAAAACATGTCTAATATTACCCATTATATACTATGTCTGGTCATTTGTCAAGCATAAAATTGTAACCCTTCCAGCAGGAGCTCCAATAGTAACAAACTATGACACCATTTTAGTGCACATGCCTGCAGTCTCACCAGAACTCAAATCTCACTACCTACTAATGGACTGTTCGAAACTTAAATATAGCTAAAGTTCACAAGGGGCAAGTTAGTTAATTTAACAACATAAAACCTATTGTATGCATATCCTCAGGACAATCAGACACATGTTTATTGGAAAGGTGCAAAGTGAGATGATTACTTACAGAAAGGACTGACTACCTTATTACCTCCCTTTTTTGTACTCAACAGCTAAAGGGTAAATCATAATAACTATCTCATATCAAGCTAATCATATGACTATCACAGAAAACTACCTTTAAACTATATCTGATCTGTACCTTTAACTAAAGAAAATATATGTGTCACTGTTTTTTTAATTATTTATCAAAATCTGAAATAAACACTTAGATTGGAGATATAAAAACAAAATCCTCAGGTATGTAACAAGTACAATGCACTAGATATCAAAGGATCGGAGATTTTTTATCTGTCAAAATGAATTGTTACAGTATTTTACTACAAACCCCCCAGGCTTGTGAGACGTGTTGAAATCACAAAAATCTCATATATTACAAACAGGAAAGCAAAAATTAAAGATCAATTGAACTTAGTATACTTGGGCAATATAATTTTATTCCTACCAGTTTTTTTTCTAAAATAAGTCATTAAAAAAACAAGAGGGCCATGATGGCCCTGAGGTCGCTCACCTGTATATAGGCCCCCATCACCCCCCCCCCCCACACACACCCCAACGTTGCAGGGCCAATTTAACCCAAGGGCTTTTATTTGCACAAACTTGGTAGACACCCATAAGAAGATGTTTCATGCTAAACATCTAAGCTCTAGCTCATTGGGCTTTTTAAAAGAAGATTTTTTTTAAGTTTTTACTATACATATATAGTTAAAAACAATGACACCCCTGGGGCTGGGCCAGTTTTGACCCCACAGCTTTTATTTGAACAAACTTTGTAGACACTTACTAGAAGATGTTTCATGCTTAATATCTAAACTCTAGCTATTTGGGTTTTTTCAAAGAAGATTTTAAGTTTTTGCTATACACATATAAAGAAAATCAATGACCCCCGGGGCGGGGCCAATTTTGACCCCAGGTCTTTTATTTGAACAAACTTTGTAGACACTCACTAAAAGGTGTTTCATGCTTAATATCTTAACACTAGCTATTTGGTTTTTTTTCAAAGAAGATTTTTTAAGTTTTTGCTATACACATATAAAAAAAATCAATGACCCCCGGGGCGGTGCCAATTTTGACCCCAGGGCTTTTATTTGAACAAACTTGGTAGACACCTATTAGAACATGTTTGATGCTAAATATCTTAGCCATAGCTCTTTGAGTTCTTTAAAGAAGATTTTTTAAGTTTTTACTTATATACATATAAGGAAAATCAAGAACCCTTAGGCGGGCCAATTTTGACCCCAGGTCTTTTATTTGAACAAACTTGGTAGACACTTATTAGAACATGTTTCATGCTAAATATCTTAGCTCTAGCTCTTTTGGTTCTTTAAAAGAAGATTTTTTAAGTTTTTACTATATGCATATAGGGAAAATCAATGACCCCCTGGGGCGGGGCCAATTTTGACCCCAGGGCTTTTATTTGAACAAACTTGGTAGACACCTATAAGAACATGTTTGATGCTAAATATCTTAGCCATAGCTCTTTGAGTTCTTTAAAAGAAGATTTTTTAAGTTTTTACTATATGCATATAGGGAAAATCAATGACCCCCCGGGGCAGGGCCAATTTTGACCCCAGGGCTTTTATTTGAACAAACTTGGTAGACACCCATTAGAACATGTTTCATGCTAAATATCTTAGCTCTACCTCTTTTGGTTCTTTAAAAGAAGATTTTTTAAGTTTTTACTATATGCATATAGGGAAAATCAATGACCCCCCAGGGCGGGGCCAATTTTGACCCCAGGGCTTTTATTTGAACAAACTTTGTAGACACTTACTAGAAGATGTTTCAGGCTTAATATCTAAACTCTAGCTATTTGGGTTTTTTCAAAGAAGATATTTAAAGTTTTTTCTTTCGGTTGCCATGGCAACCAGAGTTCTGCATGGAATTAAATTCTTTGAACAATTTTTAAAGGTGACCACCAAAGGAACATTCCTGTGAAGTTTGGATGAAATTGGCTTAGTGGTTTATGAGGAGATGTCATTTAAAGTAAAAGTTTACGGACGGACAATGGACGGCCGGACGCCGGACGAAAAGCGATCACAAAAGCTCACCCTGTCACTTTGTGACAGGTGAGCTAAAAAACCCAACAAAAACCAACTTTAGACATTTGATGCATAACAATTATGATACTCATGACCTCTCACAATATAGATAATATCTGAAAAACAGGGAGAAAAAACACTATGTGTATCTTATCATGGCTTTCTTTTTTATTTTATTTCTTCTGGATTGAAAATCATTATCATGCAATGAATAGATAATTTTTTTAGCTTTCATGCACTTGGCGTCAATCTATCTATGACTGCATATAAGTGCAAAAGAACTTAATTTTGGTACATGTCACTTTATATTATTATTTATAACATTGATGTGGCGGAGTGTTTTTTTGTGTTTTTTTTTGGTTTTACGTCACATCGACACAGTATAGGTCATATTGCGACGTTCCAGCTTTACTGGTGGAGGAAGACCTCAGGTGCCCTTCCGTGCATTATTTCAGGCACGAACAGGCACCTGAGTAGAACCACCGATGTTCCATATTAGCTAGCTGGATAGCTTCCTCACATGAAAGATCCCTGTTGGGATTCGAACCCACAGCGGTGAGGGACAAGTGGTTTGAAGCCACTTGGCCACGGACGCCCCATGTGGCTGAGTAGTTAAGTTAATTGATCTCCAACATTTGCCCCTCACCACTGTGGGTTTGAATCCCCACCAGTCTACCAGGGACTTATTTCATGTGAGGAAGCTATCCAGCCAGCTTACAAAACGTGTGTGGTTCTATTTAGGTGCCCACTTTGCCTGAAATATGACACAGAGGGGCTTCTTAAGTATTCCTTTACCAGTAAAGCTAGAAGTTCCCAATACTTATGACTTTTATAATGTAGGAATATTTGTGACTAAAACTCAAACAAATAAATGAATGTCCATTTTTATTCACAACAAAATATTCTATATATTTTTTTCAAGAATTCTGCTATTCCTAGTTACAGATGCATGTATCTTAAAGATGGGAAACAAAGGTAATTTCCTGCCATCAATAAAGTTCGAATTTTACCATATATGACCTGAATATTGTTGATGTGATATTAAATTCAACATTTAGATACAACCGTCATAAATCATCAGGAGTGTTTAATTGTACAATAAAACCTGGAGTACCAATATTTAACTTAGATAATCTTAATGACTTCTTCCTGTTGAATGAATCAATACCAAAGCTGTTTCTGAAATATATGATTTCTAAACACTCCATTCTTCAACATAAATTATAACTTACATTATCTATTACCTGGTATAACAGAAATCTTACAAATATCTAAAAAAATCTTAGTGTAGTTTAATCTTGTTAAAGATTATTTTTGATACTTTTCAAAAACAAACTGTTACAGACCGGTACAGAAATTCAATAAAATATCTTTTTTCTAAATCTTAAGCCCCATTCAAAATCATTTTAGTAAAAGTTTCTGTTAAATTTGTCAAATCGAATCATCTTATTTTATCTTCTCCAATGAAGAGTAAATTTGCCAAATGGAATTAACTATTTTTACCTTCTCCGGTAAAGAGTTAAGTTGTATATCTTTGTTGATATTCTATAGGTATGTCAATCAACTAGACAAGATTATAACAGTGTCACTCAAAAATGATATTATCATAATCAAAATATGTTCTAAACTCATCTTATTCAATTTTTTTTCTTTACAATGTTTAAACATGCCTTGATATCCTTATTTTATTTTGTACACACAACATATTGTTTATTTGTGAAGTTCTGACACATTTTAGCTTCTGCAGATTCTATATCTATGTCACATACATTGTAACTATTCCTGGCAGCAAGTACAGGACACCTACCGGTATACTGGATCATACTTGATTTTATTTTATTTTTTTTATTTTCACTCATACATTATCATGGTGACTGCTCAAAATTGGCAGCATATTCTTCAGGAGTTTATTAATCTACAGCTATTTTGGGAAAAGGCCCCTAGCATAAATTGTTTAACAAAAATATTCGACCTTTTGAGAAATCTAAGATTTTGGGAATAGGGCCTTATTTCCACCCTGATGATATGGTGAAAATGCCCTGTAAAGCTGGGTCTTTGATAACCCATGTCATTCAATGTTTCACAGGACAATTGAAAAACTATAAGAGTTTGTATATGTCCCAAAAGTCACGAAGACTTGGTGTTTTTTTTGCTTACATGTATAGAATATATCATTGATAAAGAATGAAAATAACCTTAAAGCAGGGATGTGTATATTTTTCCTAAAAAGTATAATTTAACTCATATGAGACACAATATTTTTCTCAACAACACACGACAACCTTATTTTCTACTTCTTTCTGACCTTTTTCCTATACTATCATGATACTATAGGAGAGATTTACCAGGTAGTCAATATGCTAAAAATAGATTTACTGATAAGCACTGACCATAGCAACTGTTGCAGGTCGTACAAACTGTGTTTGTACTACCCACTGATACACTATAGATTTGTACATGCTTGAGTATGGATTTACCTAGTACATCTTCAAAAATAAGCTCTGGTACAACAAAACATTGTTGTTATGGTGTATGTAATAGTGACTCAAGGTACAATGACAGAGAACATATGCAAGATGTTTTTTTCATACCATTTCCAAAACCAAAATCAAACGAATTAAAGTGTAATAAGTGGATAAATGCATGTGGTCGAAAAGACTTTACTGTTAACCACATTAAAAAGTGGACTTACATATGCAGCAAACATTTTGTTGGAGGTAAAGGACCTACAGAAAATCATCCAGATCCTGTTCCCTGCCACATATACACCACTTCAGGTATGAACATTATGATAATAATTATTTGTTGTATATAAAATTGGGAACTGACCATATAAATTATAAATAAATGCTCATGTTGTAGTAAATATTTTTATTGTGATAAGAAATTGTTCTAAATAAATCTGTCTTTTACAATTTTATTCTGTGTTTTTATATGAACTTTTAAAACCACACATTTATTACAGGTAGAAAAGTATTCACGTAAAAGAAAGGCACCAACTCCAAGGGCAGCACCTGTATCTAAAAAAACTTTGTTTGAGGTTTCAGAGGCTCTACTTCAGTTAAAGGATACAAAATACAACTCAGTGCAGAATGCAAACTCTGATGAGGAAAACCAAAGAGATCAAAATAAACAGGTAAATGCCTTAATTGTTAAATACATTTCAAAATATTTGTTCGCATTTATTGTATTAATTTTATTCTTTGATAAATTTGATATTGGGTCAATAGGGGGGTTGTATCTAATTTGTTGTTGCAGATAAAAATCTCATTTAAATGCCTCCATAATATCACACGTTATATAATTTCAGCCAGATGTGCTCGAGGACCAAGACATATACTTTGCCACAAAGATTAGATCTACAGATGATAAGGAAACCCAAACTCAATTCACATGCAGTGACCAGCTTTTTAATAAAATAGAAAGGCGCATTAAGAGCAATAAATCATCAATAGCTTTGAGTAAAAAACAGAAAAAGCATTCTGATAAACCAACAAAACTGGAATCTAAAATCACCTGCTATCAGCTTCAGACTGATGCAAAGTTATTTAAATTCTACACGGGTGTTACCCCTCAACAATTCAATCATTTATACAAGTCTCTTGGTGAATCTGTGCATAAATTAAAATTTTGGGGTGGATTAAAAAGAAAAGGAAAAACAATAAAAAAAATTACCCCTGACAATCAATTTCTACTTACTTTGATGAAATTACGACACACATTTCCTAACAAAGATTTGGCCTACAGGTTTGGGATAAGTGCAAGTATGGTTTCCAGAATTTTTATCACATGGATTCAGTTTTTGTACAAGACTATAGAACCATTATGGAAAAGGATGTTCCCATCAAAAAGCCTGATACGTGAACATTTACCTGCCACATTTAGGTCATTTAAAAATGTGCGGGTAATTATCGATTGTTTTGAGATATTTGTGCAATCTTCAAGTGACTTCGCAGAACAAGGAAATATGTATTCATCATATAAAAACCATACAACTTTAAAATGTTTGGTTGGCATTGCCCCCACTGGTGCAATTACCTTTTTATCGGATGTATACGAAGGGAGCAAAAGTGACAGGGATATTGTAATCTCCTCAAAGTTTGCTGAAATTCTGGAACCAGGGGATTTAGTAATAGCTGACAGGGGATTCCTTATTAAAGACATTTTGCAGAAAAACAAAGTCGAATTAAACATCCCTCCATTTTTAGGTGGTAGAGATAGATTAACTCCACAAGAAGAAATACTGACAAAAAGAATTGCACGTGTGAGAATACACGTGGAACGTGCGATTGAACGCATGAAAAAATTTAAGATAATTGGCACAACTTTGCCATTATGCTTCAAACCAATGGCTACACAGATTGTAAAAATAATAGGCTTTCTTGTTAACTATCAGGAACCATTAGTGAAGTAAAATAAAGGGAAAAACAAAGTGTTTCTGGAACATGTACATATTTATTAATCATAAATAGAATATTTTCAATATAAAATGAAAAAGTATTAATTAAAATTACAAATAGTGTATGTATAATTCATTTAAACCTTGAATATTATATAATACAAATTTTTATACTACTTGATCAAGTTACTTTTGTATATATGTTTATGTATATATTGTGTACATCTTACAAAAAGTGAATGCTATATACTAAATAAAACATTGTAAACCTATTTACACAATGTCTGTTCTCAGTTTTTACACTAAAGCTAGTTCACATGGCATAAGACGACGGGGTACCCTCATTTCCAAATATTCTGGTAAAAGGATGTTGTTATGGAAAGCAATCATTTTAGGAAGTATTTTTTCCCAAAATTCAACATCTCGTTTGATTGTTTCAACAATTATGCCTTTCGGTGACCAGACGATAAAATCACATGTATCAGTCTCACAAATTGCCATTTGCATTTGTGCCTGATAAAAATAAGCATGAGTCTTCTTGACACTCATTTTCCCATCTGTAACAGTATAGCAGAGAGCATATCTCTGTTTTGGTTGCAATTCATCTATATCATATGGGTGGATGTTTTCAAGTACCAGAGGACATTTTATTTCAACAACACTGGTAAGCTTTCCATCAGTTGTGACAATGCCATCAGGGCTACATCCAAGCTCTGGATATTTCGGGTTAATCCAGAGTCCTGTAGCTGCCACAGTTTTATTCTTATCTAGACTTGCCCTGTACTGATGCAACGCTTTTGGCTCATTTGATCTTCCATATTTCAATGCTTTCAGGTCCGGAAGAGTATTACCCCAGAGTAATCGCCTTAATAAGTGATACTTTCCACGGTCAGTTTTTACGTGTACTACCTCCTTTGCTGTTGATGCTGTGATGCGTAACAGTCTACTTCGGTGCCATTCCTCTGACTCAGATTGAGTTTGTGTGTTACATATTTGGTAGGGTTCACTGCCATTTATTGTTGATTTAAATAATTTCAATGCAGATTCAGATCTTAATGTTAACTGACTTTTATCCACCTCATAGTCTTCATAATTTATTTCAAGAATTTGTTGAAACATAGTTGATGAATGACAGGAAGGTAGTGTTGTAATAAAATTATTGATAAAGGAATTGTCATCCTGCTGTTCAGGTCTTGGGTCAAAGTGGATAATTCTGTCTGGTTTCATTTTTTTGCTATATGTGGCTGTGTGGCAAGGCTGAGGATCACGCTTGTTCTTCCTCCCCTTGTTCCAACTACACAGTTTAGATGTTGAAGCTATGTGATGACCATATTCCAAAATGTAGTCATCAACGGCAAATAATAAAGCTGCAATATGATTACATCTACTCATAGCAGAAGCCTTACAGTCACATGAGGCATCAAGCACTTTCCCGGAATTTCCATGTAGGGTGATGGACACATTGTAGTGTTGTTTAACAGAATATGAAGCTTGCACTATGCATTTAATGAATTGAATGCCATCTTTTGATATGTGTTTTATATCTTTAACATGTCCACTACGAAAGTATTGTCTTCCTTTCATTAATGGTTTTGATGTGTTAAAATCTGTTAAATCTTCACTCTCATTTTTGCCGTAGTCAACCTTAGCTGTTGTAATGACATGATAATATATAGTGCCATAGCAATATCCTTCTGGAAGACTTGCAGAAGGGAAGTCTTTCCAGCCAGTCACTGGCAGAACAGGAACTGTTGATGTGTCTGTGCTTTGGACATTGGCTAATACTTCTTGGACTTTTTTTTGAAACCATTTGCCCTCATCAATTGAAACCACAATGTCATTCTTGCCCCCAGCTTCAAGACAGGCTTTGCATCTGAAAAAAATTAAGTAAATGACCCATTAACATTGTTATACTGGCAAATAAGAAACAAAAATAATCAATATCCCTCTCACCAGAGGTAAAATGTGCATAAGATCTATAAAGATGAGATAAAATCTATGACCTGCACCTGTGTCTGATTATTTATGGTTTATCCCTCTAACTTATAGGAGTCAAACTATTACACTTAGGAGAGTTGTTTAATAACACTAAATGAATTTGGATAAACCTATTTCAGAACAAATTTTATTATCTATATATAAATAAAAATATCATACAGTATTTATTTTTAACATACCCTTTATGTTTATTAATTAAGAAAGTATTATATACAGAGTACATGACTTTTATATACTCTAGTGTAGATCTATATCTTACCTGTCAATTAGTTCTGGTTTATTTCCGGACAATTTTAATCCTCGACATTGTAACCATCTCTGTAATTCAACAACTGAATGCTCAGATATATCACATGAGCGAAATTTAGCTCCAGGTACATCATTTTCTGTCAATTTTACCGCATACATCTTATCAGAAGCTGCCATTGTTTACAACTGTTTGTACGACCTTCTGGGAAAATGTGTATCACGTGGTACACATAGCAGATAACAGTGACGTACCTGTAAATCTCACCTATAATGCTAACCTTAAGCTCAGTTATAAATCTCTCTAAATCCTTTTTAAACTAAAACAAAAATTTTGACCTCTGATTTAGAAGACAAAATGACATAAACAAAGCTTTATCATCCATCGCCTTACTGCAAAAATGTGATAAAGTGTCCTATAGTTTTACTGTTGATGAGTTTTAACCACGATGACTTTGTACAGGTAGAAATATTCCTGTCATTTTGAACTACATGTATTTATATTTAATAGCCTATACAAATTTATTTCATCTTGAAAAAAGGGTAGTGCATAATCTGCACCTATGTATTCCTCTCATTTTATTTTCTGTAGATTTTTTTCCCACTTTGTTTGTGTAGGAAGCTTATAATAGCTTATAATAAGTGCATAGACACACTCAACTCCGTTCCTGGGACAAACCAGTACTAAGCAATGAGTGTTAAGTTTCTTGCTAAAGAAAACAACAGTTTGCTTTGATTGGGCTTGAACTTACGCAGTCAGCAATCTTTAGATTACAAGTCTGAAGCATTAACCACTTGGCCATGCTGCCAATCAAGCTAGTTCTATTTTACTCATGCACTCAATTACTGTAAACCCTCTACAAAAATATTACTCAAGGATAATTTATGGAAAGTCATGCTAATAATTCACAAATTTACAAAAAAAACTTTGCACTTATGTCAACACTTTCTTGGTCTACAAAAGGACAAAGAAACAAAGGTGTTATTCAATATTTTATTACACATAAACAGATTGCATTCTATTAAAATGCATTAAAGTAGCTAAAATTGGTTATGATTTAACTACCCGCATACCTTGGCTATCGTTCTGAAGCGTTTTAAATTTCACGTAAAATTGGAAGACTTTTTGATCGTGGGATTATGGGCCAATTGATATCAATTACGCTGTCACCAAATACTGACACTCTTACAAAATAGATAACTTTCTGTCACTATATATATATCATAGATGATTATAGATAATAACAGAAGGTAAATAAGAAAGGAAAAAAAATGTTTTCCTCCATTAAGTTGTGGTGTTTTATTTTTAAGGTACAAGTAATCAACGGAGTAGAATCAACAAACTTCTTTAAATCTTGTTCCTGGTTACATTGTGTAATGTTATTTTTTACCCAGATGAAATTGTGTCAAAAACTTTGTTTATTCCAAAGTTAACACAGTCTAATAGTAGTCTGTAGTGTTCATGTTTTATCAAAATCTTAAGATTGAGCTTTTTAACACAACATGATCAGCTGGCTGGCAAGGTTCATACAGTGTATAGTGAACATGTTGATCTTTAACATTATTAAAAATAATTATGGGTTTTTATTGTGTAATGTGTACCAATATTGTTTTTTATGCCATTTTTTTACTTTCGGACTTTAAGACCCAAATATGCACTTCCATGCATAAGTTCAGTCATCTAAGGTATCCATGTAGAACCATCAACACCCTTAAACACAATCATGTAGTAATAAGATCCAACCTTCTATATAAATCTCACAAGAATCTTACCTTCTCAGCAATAGAATTATGACCAATTTTCAGGAGTAAGACTGACCCTTGTACAACAATACGACTGGCCTCTAGCTGCATAAAATCTACATTTCTACCATAGCCTCCATACATCAGAGGTCCCTACAATTGATACAACAAGAGCGATCAGTGATCACATGTGTCGCCTCATGATGGGCAATTTCATGTTGGGACAAGTTTTGTGACAGACGGACAGACAGTGCACAACTAGGCTTGGTACTGATCATTCCTGTAAAGTTTGGATGAAATTGCACCAGTAGTTTATGAGGTGTAGTCCGGACAAGTTTTGTGACGGACGGTAAGACAGACAGACGACGGAGAAGTGATCCCTATATGTCACCACTACTCCGTAGAGGCGACACAAAAAGAGAAATGAAATCATTTTATAATTAAATCATCATCATCACAAATCTGCACCACCTTGTAAGCAAATCACAAACTAATTATCAAACCTCTATCCCCATCATGTGAAATATCCATCAAAGGTTCATATTTGTAACAGTTGTTTATCTTGTTACTACATCTTTATTCTATGTTTGACAAGCTGGACATCATCTAAATAATTTCACTTTTTCCTGTTAATTATAATTATGATGGGACTGTAAAAAACCACATTAAAAATATGATTAATGATGCTGCAGATAGGGTGAAGATACATTGTTTGTGCCAGGTCAGAAGTGTACAGGCTATCCAAATGATTAAATACATGTATGGCATACAAATTTACAAATATGATTAATATTCCCATCTTCTAAAACTGATTCTCAAAAGATATCAAGATATAGTGACCAGTGTTCATCTACATTTTGATAAAACTCAAATTTGCTAACATTTTTCATGAAATTTAGAAATATAGATACAATCAAAAGAGAGGATCTTAATATATGATCTTGACAAGACACAATTTCTAAATTGCATATATTTTCATAAACCAGAGCAAGGATTTGAACCATAGGTTCATATATATGTTTTATTGTTAATATATTTCACCGTTACATTTTCTGTCAATTGTTTTATCAAGACAACTAACGTTCATTTCCATTACCTTTGCAGTGCCTGGTGGTAAAAAGTCCAGTTCAATTTCTTGAGGTTCAGATTTACCAGAGTTACTTCCCTTTGTTTCAAAACTGCCATGAAATGTGTAGTTGTTTTTACTGCTGCCGTCTGCGGACATAATTTCTAGTCTATTTGGATGTAGGGGATCAGGGGAGGTTACTACTATCTCATGATCTTCAGTTTCAACCGTGTCAAATCCAAACTGTCGGAACTTTTTCGCCACATATTCTGCTGACTTCTTGTCATTTGTGTCTCTGTCAGAACTAGCTGATAAGCCATCAGATGAAAGAGCAGATAACTCCCTGAAAAATTAAAAAAGCTCTCCAGTCTAGGAGCAATCTTACTGAGAATTGCGTCATATGTCAAGTTTTTCTGCCTTCTGTAACATAGAACAAAGTTGGAAGTGACAAAATAAATAAGTCCTTAAATTATTAAGTTAAAAGTATTTTTAACGATTTCAAGGCAGGTAGCAAAAATAAGGAAGACAAGCATGTACAAAATATGAATGCACTGTTTAAGTCAACACATCTGTCATCATTGTACACACTACCTTTAAAAGGCATGCCTTCAAATTCAAACGAATTTTATGAAAATTTTTAAAATGTATTTAAAAGTAAAAACTATGTGGTACCTTTTTACTAACATTAATGTCAAGTGAACAAAGAAATTAACACATTGCAGACGGCACTTAAAATCTATGAAAATTACAAAAAATATGCCAGAACATGCAAAAAAGCCGTTACTGTGTTAGTCATGCAGTAGGAATATGGTAATAAATACTAAAAATCACCTTTAATTGCATCTAACAAGTCATATAAATTTATTCTTGAATTATGAATATTTTTGGTTTTTTTGTTTCAATCTTAGCACATTTTTCTCAAGTTTGATTCTCTTGAAAAAGATAGGCTCATCTGGAGGCATGCAGCTTTAATTAAGTCTATAGGCCAACATATCATTATGGAACATCTATCATTGTTCAAGTCCCTTTAATGATTTATTGTGTGTGCTTTAAATTAAAATTTTAATGTGATATATGCACGATTTATGAGAATGACAAGCAAATTTTCTTACATGAACAAATCTATTAAATCTTTTTACATTTTATATTTGCGATATAGTGAAGGTATTTCATGGTGATGAAAAAAAATCTCTTAATTATTGAAATATGACACACGAGGCTTTCTTCCATGTTGTAATAAAGTCAAAATGTTAATCAGATTTTTCACAGATAATTATAGGGTAAAACTTTCTACTGGTAATAGAGCTATCATCAATGCATGGTGACAGCAGCGGAAAGAAGTGCATTGTGGGGTAGCCAATACAATAATGTTCTCTATTTAACTTGTAAATGTGAAAATAATTGGTGTGAACTTACACATAATTATCACTTTGTTGTGTGGTTTTTCAGCTATTATTCGGGCCATTATTTGGCTGTAAACAAACTATATAAAGAATTAATTACAGGCTCTAGAAGCTATTGAATACATAATGGGTTTATTTGTCCCTCCCTTGTATATAGATAGAGTATTAGATAAAAAAATATGCTGTAATAAAAACCCCTCGTAACTACAGATTTATTATAATGACACAAAACAATTTTCTGTACATATTTTTGTACATTGAGAATGAGCCTAAATTCTATTGCTATGCCTTTCTTTTTTAAGAGTATTAAAGTATGTATTTAGAATAACTTATCTTATTTTGATGCCAAATTATTAAAATGTTCATTGAAGTTATTGATCAGAGTTAATTATGGACTTATTTTACAAATATTCAGTGAGCGTTAAGAGCCTAAATTTCTTCATATAAATAAAGAAATACAATGATAATACATCTGGTTAAATTCTTCCAGTCAAGCTAGAGCATTTAGTTTAATGTCCATCCACATTAATGGTTTCATAAATAAGTAATTGCACAGATTCAGGCTGTAATGAATCACTTGTTTCATCAGATATAACATACAATGGTACATGTATGCTGCGGCATTATTAATTTGCATAAAACTGTACAAAATGCTAACACATGCAAGTCTCAAATTACTGTATTTTAACACCAATAACCCTTAACCTGTCAAGCATACTCTTAACCTGACTGGTCTGCTCAATTCTTGTATTTACTTTCATGTTCATATTGAAATCCCTTGAACTTTAGATGTCAAAATCATGCATCATAAGACTAATGACCATTGTACCCCCAAAAACGAAGTTTAGGGGGTATATAGGAGTCAGCTTGTCGACCGATCGGTCTACATCACCGTTTCCAGATGATAACTAGAGTTTTGAATGAGGTACTGTAATCAAACTTGGTATATAGCAACCTTATATTGAAACTCCACTTGAAATTGCATTTGGACCCCATGGGGTCAAGGTCACCATTGCTTAAAATAGAACAATGGTTTCCGGACAATAACTAGAGTGTAATCAAACTTGGTGTATAGCAAGCTTATATATGAACCCCAGCTGGTATTGCATTTGGACCCCCTGGGGTCAAGGTCACTGTAACTAAAAATAGAAAAAAATTTCCGAGGAATTACTAGAGTTAGGAATGAGATGTTGTAATCAAATTTGGTGTATAGCAAGCTTATATGAAGATTCTCAGGTTGGGATTGCAATTAATTGAAATAATTCTTTATACACAGTTTTACAGGTTATGTTGAAATTTCTTTAGACCACTTATTTTCAAAAAGTCAAAGTTGCTGGTGGGGGTATTAATCACCTTCAGTGATAGCTCTAGTTTAAAATTTACTTTGATCATGTACAAGACAGCTTCTAGGTTGTACATAATTGATAAATTTACTTTGTTCTCATGAACACCTATAATGACACTTAGCTATTGGAAAAAGAAACATTCAAAAGAAAACAGAAGCCCTGATGGATGTTTCACTGTAAGGCCGTAAGTGGTTAATTATTTATTTCAGACTTTATCTATAATTATTTTATACATCTTCACACATACTGGACAGCAAGGCAATTATCCTATTGAAGGTACCCTGTCAAGCTTAAACACTTGAATTTCAAATGACCAAAAATTATATATCTTATTTCAAAGGGCAGTAAGATTAAAAAGATGATGCTTGATTTGTCTGAACAAACAAACTACTGTAACTTTAACAAAACAGTGTTATACAGCATGAAAAGAGGTAGCACAATAAATTAGATTTTATCAACAAAAAATAGACAGTACTTGGTAAAAATTGCCATAGAGAAAGAATGATGGGTCTTTACAATTCACTTGTGTGATAAAATGATACATTTTGTTAAGTTTTTGAAAACCAGACTTATTCATGATCTTGTAATTCTTGTTTATAGAAATGTGTCATACATCTGTAGCTTTAAGTCCTATACACACTGTTTATCCCTGTATTAGATAACTTTAATGCCTTAGTCAATCTATAGATACTGTTTTCAAAATTTTTAATGTTACAAATTTATATATTGAACACATTTTAGAACAGTACTACCAATCTTGTTTTCAACATTCTGCCACTTAAATTAAACCTTTTAAAAATTAACTACTTGAATTTAATTTATAATGATTTCAACTAATACCAAAAACCACAATTTGCTGAAGGACATGAAAAGTGACATTTTAAGTTCTGAGGTGTTTTAAATGAGATGTGGTAACAGTTTAAGTGACTAGAGGTTTTAAAGCAATTGAGATAAAATACCACAAAAACTGTGAAAATAGTTAAGAAACCCATTTTAGATAATACTCAAAGCAATTATGAAAAAGACACAAGTTCCTGTTTATTTTATTTTATCTTTTTTTCGATACCGAGTAACAATGACCAGTTATAACTGGTATAGTTGGGGTTACTCGACAATAGTTGTAATACAGGGGTGATGTGGCCGCAGTTACAAAGTTCTGACTGATGAATCCATTTAAAGCTCTGAGGGTCAGGACAAATATTTTTCTGTAAATTTTATGCAAAGTTTTTTCGAAACCATAGCAAAATGACATAAGATTTAAGTAATTTGTTTTGAAACCATAGCAAAATGACATAAGATTTAAGTAATTTGTAGAAATTTTTACTAAACATATACAGGAAATCGGAACAAAACGTCAAAAAGGAAATTTTAAAATGTCAAACTTTAAAGCACATTATTTTATTTTCTAATTTCGTCTTTGTTAATACAGCTATAACAGCATGATCCAACAAAAGGTCAAAGTTGATATTCAAATAACATGACAGCACAGCAGTTTCATAGAGAAGCCCCTATTTTCCCACCAAGTCCTGACCCCTATAAAAGTCAAACTGGTCTTTAAGGGATAAAGCCCATTAAAGTTATTTCTAAACCACAACAGGTGATGATAGGGGAGTACAAATCAGGTGGTCCCTTCTACTTGTAATGACATTCATTAAATTCTGAAATTACATTTTAAATTAAAATGCATGACTGACAAGAATAGAGGGCTATCAAATGAAACCATGTTGAATGGAATGAAGATGTTTTTTGTCAGAAGGAGAGGGAGACAATTATAGTGGTTAACAAAACAAAAAGTCCACCTGATCCAGGATTCTGCATATATTAAATACTATAGATGACCCATTACACAGATTCCTAACTGCTGATTTTTGTCTTCTTCTCTATTTCATTGCTACATGTAACTAATGCTCCGACAGACAGGGTATTTTAAACATTTTTAAAGTGAAGGGAACCAGGGAAGGGCCCATGATAATGTTGTTAGAACATTTGACCCTGGAACTCTTTTGTATGTACACTTGATGATTATGTGTGTAAAATTAAATTATAAATTTGTACAATAAAGTATTAATAAACTAAACACTTAAAAATACTGAACATTTTCTATGTAATTAAGAGACACTGTTCTTATACAAATAATTTAAAATTGAACTATCATAATAGAGAGTGTGAGTTGTACATTTGAAATCACTATGTACAGAGTCTACAATCTACAAAAGAAGGTAGACCGCGAAATGACTCTCACCCGGCGTTCCATAATTACAAAAAAGCCAAATGTAATTTCCGTCGAATTCATAGGAAAGTTGTTAAGCAATATCTCATGAAACAGAACGAGGAGTTAGATCGAACTGCAGAACTGGACTCAGACACTTTTTGGAAAAAAATCAAGGCCAGACGAAAAAACATTGAATCTTCTTCTTTATGTGCTGGGGTGTACAGTTAGAGATCGTAGTGAAATAACTCTAGGATGGGGAAATTATTTTAAATCATTGTATATGCCAACTTCGAATACGATGTTTGATGAAAATTGGAAAAATATGGTTGATCGGGAAATTCAGTCAACTGAAAATACCATCATTCCGGATCCGGATGTCGTC